CCAGGAGGGACACATCGTGGTGACCTCGAGGAGGACTGGGTGGCTGCGCGGGGCGTTACGGATCGGTGAGGTTAATCCAGGCGGTGGCTGTGGCTCCCTGACCCCATGAGCAGCTCCGTATCCAGTGGATCCCCATCCTGCTGCCTGCAGGGCAGCCCCCAGCCCGGGGCACATCCAGGTGCCAGCCTCACTCCCTGCCTCTGCAGATGCTCTGTCCTCAAGCTGAACTCCTCACGCCTTGCCCGGACCTGTTGGCACGAGCGGATGTGACTCACAGCACGGTACTGGCACCGGTGGGGGATTCTCAACCACTCTGCTGCCTCGCCCCAGATGCTGCCCTGCATCCCTTTCTTCTCTTCTGCCCAGCTGGGAACAGCTTCAAATCATCTCACATTTACTGGGGTGAGATGGGAAAGGGGAGGCTGCATCTGTCCAGTTGCTCCCTCCCAAAATCCAAGGGCTTCCCGCAGGGAAGGCAGGAGGGAAACCAGGGCAGGTAGCAACCAGTCCTCCCAAGGAGCCCAGCAGTGAGGAGCTGCGTTGCGTTGAGGACTTGCAGCCCTCGCAGCAGTGGAAAGCTGTGACCCCTGCAGCCACCCTGCTGCTGGCGGGGCTTTACCTTCAGCGCACGAGGCCTCGGAGGATGGAAAATTTTAGGCATTTCTGGGAGCCTGTTTACTGCCCGCAGGGGAAGGGCAGTGCCCGCAGGCGCTGGGATTTCTTGGCTGCCCACAATCTCTCCCCATGGTTTTGGCAACGAACGCCTGGCCCATGGACGACCTTCCCTGCCCCTCTCCCACCCAGTGCCTGGCATTGCCTGCAGGCTGGGCCAAGCTGTTGGGTGCAGCCTGGGTTCGGTCTGGATGCTGTGCACGACCCTGGCGGTACCATCACCCTCTCAGTGGGAGCTTTGCAGTCAAAGCTGACACCCATGCGGGTCCCACTAACAGGAGCCATCTGTGGGTGCCCGCAGCCCTGGGCTCGGCACCAGCGGCACCGGTGGCCAGCACCGAACAATGCCGGGCTCAGCGCTCCCACCCGCTCCCTGGGGAGCAGGCGGGTGGCTGGGGAGCGCTTCCGCAGATTCAGCCCCGCTTCCTTCCCCCGCCGGTCCCGGCACACCCTCGGCTCCAGCCCCAGCGCTTCCTCCGTGGGGGCACCCCGATGGCCCCTGGCACGGCACGGCCAGAGCAGCAGGGGATGGGCAGGACATGGGCACTGCCACATGGCTGGGCCCTCAGCACTGCCTGTCCTGCTGCCCACCCGGGGGGCCCCGCCGGAGCCTCAGCGGTGCCCCGGGAAGGAAACCCTCCCCCCCCCACCAACCCTGCTGCCCCTTGTCCCCCTGGGCAGGAAACCTGCGGGGCTGCTGCTGAGTCAGTACCGGCTGCCCTGGCCCCGCACAGGACATCCTGCCCAGCGCAGCACTGCCCAGGGACACCGCTGCTCCAGGACACCATCACCCTGGGGACACCACTGTGGTGGGGACACCACCACCCTGGGGACACCACCACCCTGGGGACACCACCGTGGTGGGGACACCATCACCCTGGGGACACCACCGTGGTGGGGACACCACCACCCTGGGGACACCACCACCCTGGGGACACCACCGTGGTGGGGACACCACCATCCTGGGGACACCACCGTGGTGGGGACACTGCTGCCCTGGGGTTGCCACTGCTCTGGGGTCACTGCTGCTCTGGTGACATGAGCTGGGGACAGCAGCCTAGGGCCACCACTGTGCCGGGGTCACTGTGTTTCCAGGCTCACCACCGACCCGGGGACACCAGCCCGGTGTCCCCGCCGTTTTGGAGTGACCATGATCCTGGGGTGCCCAGCACCCTGGGCCCCCATCCGCCCTCCTGCTCCCCCCCCCCCATTATCGGGGTGCCCCCGCCCTGGGGTCTCCACCGTTCTGACCCCCCCCCCCCAAGCCGTCGAGTCCCGCAGCCCGTTGCGCCGCCTCCCCCCCCGCCGCCCCGCGGCGCCCCCTGCCGGGCTGACCCCCAACCCACACCGCTCCCGTTCGCCGCGTGGGGGGCGGGGCCTCCCGGGCCGTACCAACCGCGGCGGGACAGGGGGGCGGCGGCGCCTGGCCCGGAGCCTCGGCCCCACGGGGGTGGGCGCGTGCGGGTGTGGGTCCGCGGCCGGCCCGCACCCGCGGCACCCCGCGGCACCCCGCGCCGCCAGCCCGTCTCGCTGCGCGCCCGGGGCGGGGCCGTTCGTGGCGGGAGGCGGCGCCCCCGCGGGTGGTGCGCGCCGGGGAGGTTTAAAAGCGGCGGCGGGGGGCGGCGACGCCGGTGGAGCCCGTGGCTGGGGATGGCGTGAGCCGGGGGCAGCGGGCGCGGAGCGGAGCGGGCGGCGAGCGGGGCCGCGCCCCGCGCTTTGTGTCCCGGCCGCGGACAAAGGGAGCGCCGCGCCGGCACCCGCGGCACCGGGAGCGGGCGGAGCCGCGTGGGACCGGGATCCCGGGGAGCCGAACCCCCGGGGGCTCTGCCCGCGCTCCCCCGGTGCCTTTCTGCCCCGGGCGGGGGGCTCGGGGCAGGGTCTGCTTTGGGGGGTGCGGGCAGAGCCGCCCGCCCCGCCTGACCCCCGGCTCGCCGCTGCCCCGGCGCCCCTCGGGCAGGATGCGCGGGGTCTGCGCGGCGGCGCTGGCCGTGCCTTGGCTGGCTCTGCTGGCACTGGCCCAGCAGCCCCCCGAGAAGCCAGCGGCCGCCCCCCTGCTCACCCGCCGGCCCTTCCTGGTGGCCTGGAACGTGCCCACCCAGGACTGCAAGCCCCGCTTCCAGGTGTCCCTCGACTTCAGCCTCTTCGACCTGCAGGCCTCCCCCAATGAGGGCTTCGTGGGGCAGAACCTCACCATCTTCTACAAGGAGCGCCTGGGGCTCTACCCCTACTACAACAGCCAGCGTGTGGCTGTCAACGGTGGGGTCCCCCAAAACAGCAGCTTGTCCGAGCACCTCGCACGCCTCCAGGAGGGCATCAGCAAGTACATCCGCTCGCCGGCCAAGGAGGGACTGGCTGTCATCGACTGGGAGGAGTGGCGGCCCATCTGGGCTCGCAACTGGAAGCCCAAGGACATCTACCGGGAGGTGTCCAAGCAGCTGGTGTACCAGCGACAGCTCAACTGGTCCCATGAGGAGGCCAACAAGCAGGCCGTGTTTGAGTTCGAGTCAGCCGCCAGGCAGTTCATGGTGAGCACCCTGCGTGTGGCCAAGAGCTTCCGACCCAAGCAGCTCTGGGGGTTCTACCTCTTCCCTGACTGCTACAACCATGACTACAGCAAGAACAAGGAGAGCTACACCGGGCAGTGCCCGGACGTGGAGAAGACTCGCAATGACCAGCTGGCGTGGCTCTGGCGGGAGAGCATGGCCCTCTACCCCTCCATCTACCTCGACGTGCTCCTGGCCTCCACTCCCAACAGCCGCAAGTTCGTGCGGGCGCGGGTGATGGAGGCCATGCGGATCTCACAGCAGCACCACGATGGCTACTCCCTGCCTGTCTTTGTCTACACCCGGCCCACCTACATCCGCAAGCTGGATATGCTCAGCCAGGTAGGGCTCTGCCACCGGGATGTCGCCGTCCCAAAACCTGTGTGCCTGGGCTCTGGGGTCAGCTGAGGTGGTGCCTCTGCCTGTGTGCCATCCACTCCTCTGGAGTGGGGTGGCTTTGAAGTCTGGTGTCTGCCCTCATGGTCCTACTGGCACACTGGTTTGCCTGTGTCCATGTGGGCTGGGGAGCAGTGCCCTTTGGCATGGGACTAGACCTGGGGAGCAGGAACGGTGCTCAGTCCTGCTGCCTTCCCTCCAAGGGGGGGTCACAGCGTGGGGACCCACAGCACAGCCCTGCTAGGAGCTGGCACAGGACTGGCACAAATAGTTGCCATCACCAAAGAAGTGTATGGAAGGTGCTACAGGTCTCCGGGGTCCCAGCAGGCAGGACCCTGGGGTACATGAACCCACAGCTCCTGTGTTGTGTTGGTTTAGCCCCACAGGAGAAAGGTAGTGTTGGGAAGCTTTGTGCCCAAGGAGCTGGAACAGTCCCCTCTCCCTGTGGCCTGGTGCAGGGATGGGTCTTGCCCCCCTGACCCTGCAGCAGGCATCGTGCTGGGGGTGCAGGTGCTGTGTTGGGGCCTGCAGGGACTTAACTGGGCTCTGTCTCCACAGCTGGACCTGATCTCTACCATTGGAGAGAGCGCGGCACTGGGTGCAGCCGGAGCCATTTTCTGGGGTGATGCAGACTACACCAAAAACCGGGTAGGTTTGGGTCAGTGTGCCCCTGGGGAGGCAGATGATGAGGAAGGGGGAGGACACCTGCCCCCAGAGTGGCTCGAGGCTGGGTTGCCTTCTCCATCTGGGATGCTTCTCTGCCTGGGGCACCTCCGCATTACCCCTGATATCCCCCTTCCCCCAGGACTCGTGCCAGATCATCAAGAACTACCTGGAGAGTGACCTGGGACGCTACATCGTAAACGTCACGACGGCGGCGCAGCTCTGCAGCACGGCGCTGTGCCAGGGCCGGGGCCGCTGCCTGCGCCAGGACAGCAACGCTGATGTCTTCCTCCACCTCAACTCCACCAGCTTCCAGCTGCAGCGCCGGGATGGGGACAACCCCCAGCGCCCCCTCTTCTGGGCCGAGGGCCAACTGTCCCCTGCTGACACCTTCTTCCTACGGACCCACTTCCGCTGCCACTGCTACCAGGGCTGGCAGGGCAGCAGCTGCCAGGTGCCTGCTGGCCCCCGCGGTGATGCCCCTGACTTCTTGGCACCACTGAGACTTGGGGTGCTGTTGCTGCTTGCAAGCTGGTGCTACCTCCTCTTGGACTGAGCTGCCCCTTGTGGCACCCCCTTTCTGCGGTGGTGTAGGGGACCTATTTAAGATAACCCTGCCTGGGACGCAGCTTGTTATGCGGGGGGGGCTGCCCCTTACCAGGGCTAGAACAGTGCGGTTGCCCTACCTCTGCCCTCCCTCCTGTGGGGCGGGTGCCCACCATTGGGATGGAGGGCGGGGGGGCCTCTCCTGTTGTAAGGAGAGATGGGGGCGGGGGGGGGGTGCATGGGGGCATGGAGCGGGTGCTGTGTGGTGCTAAGCCCCTGTGCGCTGCCCCACACCGAAGTGCTTTACCTCGAATAAAGCTGGGTGCGCGTCAGCGGGGTGTGGGCTGTTTCGGGGGGGCACAGCTCGCCCCGCTCCCGGGCGGGCTCCGCCACGGCCGGGCCACACACGTGGAGGCAGCGGCGGGGGCCGCCCCGCGCTCCGCTTCTCCCCGCCCGTTCCCGCAAGCCCCGCCCCCAGAGGGTCTGGCCCCGCCCCGCGTTCCCCGTGCGCGCGGGGTGCCCGCGATATCGCGACAGCGACCGGCGCGATACGGCCGCGGTGGGTACAGCCCTGGGAGGGCTGCCCCCGGGAGGGGCCCTGTCCCCGCCGTCTCCCCTCGGCTGCCGGGCGCTGCCCGTCCCCGCACGGTGCCGTTCTGTGCTGCGAGTGCCCCCAAACCGGGCCCTCCGTGCTGCCGTGCTGTCCCCACACGGTGCCGTCCGGTGCCACCGCCGGTCCCAAGCTGTGTCTCGCCGGGTCCTGCCCGGAGCTGCGCGCTTCCCCCCTGTCGTGCCCTCCTCCTGCCAGCTCATGGCCGATGCTCCGCACTGCCCACGTCCGTCACCGTGACCTTGCCCTCCGCCCCCTTCCCGTGCCTGTTTGTCTTTCCAGCCCAGCTCATCGCCGGCCATCACCGGGTGTTGACTCTGCGCATTCCTCCCCGGCCGCGCCCGCTGCTGACGGTCGTTAGCCCGGGGCTAACGTTGGGGATTTGCTGTGAGGAGGTGGGAGAAGCGCCCGCGGGTCCCTGGCACTGCTCGAGAACAGGGGTGTGGGTTAATGCCAGCGGCAGCTTGGCCTGGGGATAAAGGTCTGGCTTTATCGGGGTCTGCCCAGGCCTCCCTTTGTCTTGGCTCTCCCCAGACTGCTTCAGGACACATCCTGCTCCCACCAGCACCATGGCATTGGGGTGGTCCTGCTGGGTCTTCCTGCTGCTCCTGCCTTCCCTGGCCTGCGCCAGGGGGCCGGGCCCTGTCCTTGTCAACCGCCCCTTTGTCACCATCTGGAACATCCCCACGGAGCGCTGCGCCGAGAAGTACAACGTCACCCTCAACCTGGAGGTCTTTGATGTGTTGGCCAACGACCAGCAGTCCTTCACCGGGCAGGACATCACCCTGTTCTACAGCAAGGAGCTGGGGCTCCTCCCCTACTACACATCTGAGGGGATGCCAGTGAACGGGGGCCTCCCCCAAAATGCCAGCCTGCAGGCCCACCTCCAGCAGGCCACCTGGGACATCAAGTTCACCCTGCCCAGCCCTGCCTACAGAGGACTGGCCGTCATCGACTGGGAGAAGTGGCGCCCGCTGTGGGTCCGCAACTGGGCCTCCATGGACATCTACCAGCAGCAGTCGGAGGAGCTGGTGCGGCAGCAGCACCCGCAGTGGCCCCCCGAGCTGGTGAAGGAGGCGGCCAAGCAGCAGTTTGAGCAGAGCGCCCGCAACTTCATGGAGCAGACCCTGCGGCTGGGTGAGACCCTCCGTTCCGACAGCTACTGGGGGTTCTATGGCTTCCCTGACTGCTACAACAATGACTTCGACAGCCTGCCCTACACCGGGATGTGCCCAGTGGTGGAGCAGCAGAGGAACAAGGAGCTGTGGTGGCTCTGGGAGAGCAGCCGGGCGCTCTACCCCAGCATCTACCTGCCCTCCTCCCTCAACGGCACCAACAAGGCGCTTGCCTACGTCCGGCACCGTGTGGCTGAGGCTTTTGCCATGCAGCGTGGTGTCCTTGATGGTGGCATCCCTGTTCTGCCCTACTCCCAGATTGCCTTTGACTGCACAGTCAACTTCCTTTCCCAGGTGATGGGGGTGTGCGGATAGCGGGTACCGCTCAGGCTGATGGGTTGCTGCTGGGAATCTTTAGCTCTTTGGGCAGCGTTGACTTTTCCTCTCTGTGGGGTGCAGGAGGACCTGATGAACACCATCGGGGAGAGTGCAGCTCAGGGTGCTGCTGGCATAATCCTCTGGGGCAGCCTCAACTACAGCAACTCCAAGGTGAGTTTTGGGGTTGGCACCATGCCACTGCCTTCACAGAACCCCCATTCCCTGACCAGCAGGACTGTAACATCATATGCCATTGCAGGAGATGTGCCTGAGGCTGAAGGACTATGTGGAAGGGCCACTAGGCCACTACATCGTCAATGTGACGGCCAGCACTGATCTCTGCAGCCAGAGCTTGTGCTCCGGCCAGGGCCGATGCGTGCGCAAGGAGGACAAGCAGGGCTTCCTCCACCTCGACCCCTTCCGCTTTGCCATCAACCTGCAAGCTGGCAAGCCCTGGCTGGTGACCCAGAGCCTGGAGTCCACTGATGACACCCCGAGGCTGGCTGAGCAGTTCAGGTGCCAGTGCTATGACAAGTGGCAGGGGCCCCGCTGCGACACTCAGGACACCACTAGGTAATGTGCACAGGGATAGCGGGGCAGGCAGGGTGACACTGCCTCACGCCCCAGAACCCTCACCATGGGGGTGGGACCCCCTGTGGCACCGCTAATAAAACCAGTAGGCACTCGCAAGCATATCCTTGTCTTCTGCCGCGGCTCGGTTTGGGGTGGGAGGGTGCTGCTGAGGTGAAGCTGTCAGCATCTGGATGTTCAGCTTGGGGCAGGGGGAGTCACACACTAGGTTCTCTGATCTTATCTGTGGGCGAGCTCTCCATGATGGGACTGCACTGTGTAGCACTCAGTGTCTACTGGGGACGTGCAGGCTGGACCCCTTATTTCTTATGCCGGTTAACATAAACCACTGCAAAGCACGGACTGTCCCCGAGCATGCAGCATGCAGAGCTCAGAAAGCAGGCTGGGCTCTTCTCAGCAATGGTTCAGCTGGTGGCAGATCAGCTGCTTCTGCTTGGGGTTTGGGTGGTGAGATAGGAACTCCTGCTGGGGTTTTGCTGTACAAACAGGACAGGACAACTGAGGAAGGTTTATTGTTTAATAGTTTATTCCTAATTCTACCAGGCTCTATCTAACCTACTCTCCTAAGCTCTATTGAGGGACTCGGTATCTATGAATACTCTTAAGGTCTATCATGGTGGTGGGAAGCGGAGGTTGGGAGGGATGAAGCTCTCTCTGCCTGCTGCTCTGTCAGGCTCTGGGCTTGTGGGAGCAGCTGCCCTTGGGGCTGGACGGGCAGTGCTGGGGCCAGGAAGTGCTCCATTCCGTCGCTTGGCGGGTGGAGATGCCCGCGTGGGCACTGCAGGCTGCGCATCGGCGCTTCTGGAGGGATGTTCTTCCTCCTCCTGTGCTGCCCCCGGGGCCTTCCGCTTGATGGCAGCTTTCCTCTTGTGCTGCTCCAGCAGCTGGGGACGCTCTCTGCTGAAGCTGGGGTTGTAGTAGTAGAGCAGCTGCAAGAAGCAAAGGAGAAGGGTTAGCTGTCAGCATGCCAGGACTGGAAAGCCTCAAGCCCGGTTAGTTTGGTTGATGTGCGGGGCAAGTTCTGTACCTTGCTGTGAGAAGAGGCTGCTGCTTCCTCAGCAAGGAATTCAGGCAGGGAGGCAGATCTCTGGGAGTCTGGGTGCACTCTGGTGAAGCCGTAGTTGTACAGTTGCCGGAGGAAAGAGTTCATCTTCTGTGTGGAGAAAACCCGGCCCAGCACCTCCTGTTGGAAGAGTTCTTCATTGATGGCCACACATTTTCCTCCCATACCCCACCAGATGGACCGAAACTCGCTGCTTTCCAGGATCTTCCACAGCCTCTGTGGAAAGCCGAGGCCTGAGAATTCTCTGGCTGGGTGCCTGCTCCCGTTGGAAAGAGGAGGGATTCGGACGGTGTCGTGTCCCTCGCTGCCGGGTTGCACATCCCGCTCCTCCTGTGTGGCTGCTGCGGCTGTGTCACAGGGCGCTGTTTGCCCCTGTCCTGAAGGGCCGGCAGCAGCCGTGTCTGCCGACTGCCCCAGCTCATGCGGAGCACAAAGGGATGGCGCTGGTGCGGGAGCCGGCTCCCATTCCATTTCTGCTGTCGGCCCTGGACCCACGGTTCGCTCGGCAGCCACTGCCCTGGAGAACCAGGCCCAGTCCCAGCAGTCAGCCAGGAGAGGCTGCTGGCGCTGACTGACTGTGGGTACCAGCGGGTGCTCTCCCGTATCCCTTGGGTGCACGCGGTGATGTCACAAAGACGATGATGCCGGGGGCCTGGCAGAAGGGAGCGGCAAGGGGAGACATGGCTGAAGAGCCCTTGCTGCTTTTCCCTGCAGAGCCACCGCTGGTGGGACTCCAGAGCCCAGCAGTCCATGAAGCTCTATTGAAGGGCTGTAGGCAGGGAGGGGACCGTGCTGTGTCTGCTTGCAGCCAGCAGTGGGTCTGCAGGGAGGAGCGGGGACGGCTGCAGCGTGGGGCATCGCGGTGCCCATTTGGGAAGCTTTCCAGCTGGGCACCTGTGTGAGGGACAACAGATAATGGTCTGTGGTGAAACACACAGAGATGGAAGAGTACTGTTTGTGTGCTTTGGCTGCTCCCTGGAGAGTCCAGCTTATCCTTGTATTCTGCTGCTCGTCGGTTTGGGGTGGGAGGGTGCTGCTGAGGTGAAGCTGTCAGCATCGGGATGTTCAGCTTGGGGCAGGGGGAGTCACACACTCAGTTCTCTGATCTTATCTGTGGGCGATCTCTCCATGATGGGACTGCGCTGTGTAGCACTCAGTGTCCACTGGGGAAGTACAGGCTGGACCCCTTATTTCTTATGCCGGTTAACATAAACCACTGCAAAGCGCTGACTGTCCCCGAGCATGCAGCATGTGAGACAAACCAGGTGCCACCCAGAGATGAACCCCTGCTCAGTGGATAGGAGGGGCTGCAGGAAGCAGCATCGAGTTCAGATGCTTCAGTTAAAGGCTCTTGACTCAACTGGGTCTCGCTCAATGCTCTTCTCAGAGGTTCCTCACTCCGCCACTGGGTAACGGGCTGTGTCCTCGTGCTAAAACCTGAGCCAGGGTTCTCCGGCTCAGCCGTGTCAGCTGAAGAGTGCCAGGACTTGTGAGCTCCTGGTCTCCTGGCATGGCCTTGGAGAACGTCTCTCCAAAGAAAGTAGCAAGGACCGTGTGTGCCTCAGCCTGGCTTTTACTCTCGAGAACTCAGAAAGCAGGCTGGGCTCTTCTCAGCAATGGTTCAGCTGGTGGCAGATCAGCTGCTTCTGCTTGGGGTTTGGGTGGTGAGATAGGAACTCCTGCTGGGGTTGTGCTGTACAAACAGGACAGGACAACTGAGGAAGGTTTATTGTTTAAGTTTATTCCTAATTCTACCAGGCTCTATCTAACCTACTCTCCTAAGCTCTATTGAGGGACTCGGTATCTATGAATATTCTTAAGGTCTCTCTACCATGGTGGTGGGAAGAAGAGGTTGGGAGGGATGAAGCTCTCTCTGCCTGCTGCTCTGGCAGGCTCTGGGCTTGTGGGAGCAGCTGCCCTTGGGGATGGACGGGCAGTGCTGGGGCCAGGAAGTGCTCCATTCCGTCGCTTGGCGGGTGGAGATGCCCGCGTGGGCACTGCAGGCTGCGCATCGGCGCTTCTGGAGGGATGTTCTTCCTCCTCCTGTGCTGCCCCCGGGGCCTTCCGCTTGATGGCAGCTTTCCTCTTGTGCTGCTCCAGCAGCTGGGGACGCTCTCTGCTGAAGCTGGGGCTGTGGTAGTAGAGCACCTGCAGCGAGCAAAGGAGAAGGGTTAGCTGTCAGCATGCCAGGACTGGAAAGCCTCAAGCCCGGTTGCGTTGGTTGATGTGCGGGGCAAGTTCTGTACCTTGCTGTGAGAAGAGGCTGCTGCTTCCTCAGCAAGGAATTCAGGCAGGGAGGCAGATCTCTGGGAGTCTGGGTGCACTCTGGTGAAGCCGTAGTTGTACAGTTGCCGGAGGAAAGAGTTCATCTTCTGTGTGGAGAAAACCCGGCCCAGCACCTCCTGTTGGAAGAGTTCTTCATTGATGGCCACACATTTTCCTCCCATACCCCACCAGATGGACCGAAACTCGCTGCTTTCCAGGATCTTCCACAGCCTCTGTGGAAAGCCGAGGCCTGAGAATTCTCTGGCTGGGCGCCTGCTCCCGTTGGAAAGAGGAGGGATTCGGACGGTGTCGTGTCCCTCGCTGCCGGGTTGCACATCCCGCTCCTCCTGTGTGGCTGCTGCGGCTGTGTCACAGGGCGCTGTTTGCCCCTGTCCTGAAGGGCCGGCAGCAGCCGTGTCTGCCGACTGCCCCAGCTCATGCGGAGCACAAAGGGATGGCGCTGGTGCGGGAGCCGGCTCCCATTCCATTTCTGCTGTCGGCCCTGGACCCACGGTTCGCTCGGCAGCCACTGCCCTGGAGAACCAGGCCCAGTCCCAGCAGTCAGCCAGGAGAGGCTGCTGGCGCTGACTGACTGTGGGTACCAGCGGGTGCTCTCCCGTATCCCTTGGGTGCACCGCGGTGATGTCACAAAGACGATGATGCCGGGGGCCTGGCAGAAGGGAGCGGCAAGGGGAGACATGGCTGAAGAGCCCTTGCTGCTTTTCCCTGCAGAGCCACCGCTGGTGGGACTCCAGAGCCCAGCAGTCCATGAAGCTCTGTTGAAGGGCTGTAGGCAGGGAGGGGACCGTGCTGTGTCTGCTTGCAGCCAGCAGTGGGTCTGCAGGGAGGAGCGGGGACGGCTGCAGCGTGGGGCATCGCGGTGCCCATTTGGGAAGCTTTCCAGCTGGGCACCTGTGTCAGGGACAACAGATAATGGTCTGTGGTGAAACACACAGAGATGGAAGAGTACTGTTTGTGTGCTTTGGCTGCTCCCTGGAGAGTCCAGCTTTGGTTCCTATGCAGAAAGTTCCGCTCTAGAACTCCCCAGAAAAGCCTCAAGCCTTGGAGTCCTCTCTGGATATTGCTGCCACTTCTTCCCACGTAGGCTGGCCCCTGCTTGGGAGTGAGTGTCTGTTTTAGTCAGTATAAAAGCCCGAGCCTCATGCGACGCTGGGAGGCAGAACCTCATCCCACCCAGGTCAATGTTGCCTGTGCGGGATGCCTGCTAAGGTTGAGCCTGCATGTGGCACTGCGATGCTGTTTCTCAGAGCTGGTTTCCTGATGGTCTTCACAGGGTCCTTGGGGTTGGCAAGACGTATACTGTTCCGAAACATCCTGTACTGTACCTGTTAGATTCCCTATATTGTGCTATAGTAATAAACTAGTTGAGAGTGCTCTATTTGTCTCTCATTTTTGCTCACTTGGCATCCTCAAACACTGGAACATCACCTCTGGCACGTGCAGAACCGCCCCGCTGGTCTTTGGTTTTCTTGTCGCTGGGTGTTGGCTGCAGGGAAACAGCGTCCCAGCTGTTAAAGCCACCCCTGCAAGGCACAGATATCTTTCACAGAACAAATGCTCTGGCTGGAATATAACCTGGGCACGGGACCTCCAGCACTGGTGCAGACTCCAGCAATAACCAGAATTTGCAGGGTTCCTACAGCTGCCTTGTTCATTTGTTTTGGTGGCATTGAGTAAGGACCTGAGAAGGTACCAATGGACTGAAGAAACACGTACTGGGTTATTGCCCCGCTCTTTGCCAAGCTGGTGGCCTCTGAAAAACTTCGGCATGAATTGTCTTTTGGTCCAGCATTGACTGGTGTAGAGATAGCTTGGTGAATGTTGGAAACAATTCTATCTTAGTATTTTGCATATGTGGAATGTGATTTAAGTTAACAGTTCCAGTACACTCCTCCCAAGCAAAGTTCACCTTGCTATTTGTACAGAGAAAATGGCTACGAACATCAGTCTTTTTGTCCGGAAGGTGTTACAAGCTTTCTGCTTGGAGTTTTTAGTAATCTAATATGCTTGAAGTGCTCAGCTTCTGAATATCTGGTGCACAGGTAGGGGCTGCTTTGGGGTTCTGCTGGCCATAGAAATTTCTGTTCTCTCAAGCCATTAACTGAACTAAGCATTGAAATAGGCATCAGGAAAGAGGCGCTTCCTCTGGAACTGCAGAAGGGTCTAACACGGTGAGCAGTTGCCTAAGCAGTGCAAGAAACCCTGCCTCTAGGTGCTGGCTCAAAGAAAAGTGAGGCTGAAACCTGAACCAGCTCCTTTTCGTGCTGTCGATGTAATGCAAGCTTGGGCATGAACAGAGTTTGTCACCATCAAATAATTTTAAGTATGTGAGAGGATTTGTTTTATTCATCCTACTTATTGTAGCTGTTCCTCAGCCCCTTGCCTCTTACAGTATGCCTGAAGATGCCCAAGATGCTGGGTTTCATGTAATCTACTTTGGCTAACTCCAGACTCCGAGGAACAGAGACTAGGAGCACCCTGCACATGGTGCCAGCAGACAGCTTGGGAGCAACGACCATCTGCTGGGTGGTGTTTGCAGGTCTGAAAACCACGCTGTGCCTTGTAGATGTGCAGTGCTCTGCAAATCCACGTGCAGCACAGGAGCGAGCCCGCGCTCGGCGGCAGCGCGCTGGACACCAGCCAAAGCAAGAGGTGCCAGCGGCAGCCTGGCAGCAGCCCCAGGCCCTCGTGTGCTTTACATTCCTGGGTGTTCCACGTCTCTTGGGTGGAGCGTGCTTCTGGTGCTGTCACAGCAGCTCCTCTCCTCTGTGCTCAGGGTGACGGAGAAGGGCGCTGTGCTCGGAGCGCGCTCCTCTGCTGCGCTCAGGGCGCACACAAACTTGAGTCCTAGACTTTTTCCATACGCTGCCCCGAGAAATAAGGGCAGTCTGTCACAGCTGCCCTTACATTGCCCAGTGTTTTGTTTCCACGACTGAGTGTATCTTTGCCTAGTCAGCTTAAGCCACGTTATCTCCAAACCCAATTTATAAGGACCCACTATGGTTAACTATCCCAAACAGAGGAAACCAAACTGCCGATTGCTCTGAAATGAGAAAGACTATTTTAGAGTCTAGAATGAAGACGCTAATAGCAAGAAGGCTTTAAATGCTTTGGTATGACTAGGACGTAAAGTAGGTTAGCTGAAGAGCAAGGTGTAGGTTAAGCCTTACACAAAACAGATGGAAGAAAGCCCTCCCAACTGACCCACAGGCTTTTCAGCTGTTGAAAAGTTTGAAATTAGAGGCCTGTTAATTAGCCAATGAGAAGAGTTCTCATCTGCCTTTTTTCCCAACTGAAAATTTCAGAAGTCAGTAAAGATGGAAATTTCCCACATTGCCAAAAGTCGGTGCAGTCACACACTGGGACACTGTGTTCAGTTTTGGCTTTGCATTAACAACCCCTGCCTGTGGTCACACAACTTAGAAAGCAACCATAGTTTGAGCCCTTGGGAGTTGTTTCAGAACCCCACGAGTTATCATTTGCTGTTTCATTTCACTTCATCCAAAGCTTTAGACAGATGTCATAAAACTAAAACCAGGAGGATGGAAAGCAGGTTCTTCCAGACCGCTCCTCCTGCAGCCCGTGCACCTCGGTGCTGAGCCTTTGGATCTGACGAGTGAGTACAAAGCTCTCTTGGAAGAAATAAATCCTTCCCCAAAGCACGTCAGCAGTAACTGCATGGCTTGAAATGAAACAGATGGCATGTGGGTCTTCTAAATGTCTTTTATTCCCTTTACAATGCAGTGGAGGTTTGTGGCACCCAAGTGCTGATCACTGTCCAAGAGCTCAGGTTGCTTTGTATGTGTAGGTTTATGTATCTCATGTTATTTCTATTCTGATTTAGTATTATGTTATACTTTAATCATAATTAAACTGTTCTTAAACCTGTGATTACCATTTCCAATGTGAAATACCAACCCCTAGAGAAATTATCTCCAGAAGCCTGAATGTAAGCCTCCGGTACCCAACCCCCAGCTCAGCCTGTCAACTGTGCTCCCTCGGAGCAGCACTGCCTCGAACACCAGATCTTCTTCCTGCCAGTTCCCTAAATTGAGGTGGCTTCTCCTGACAGTCTCTTTGTATTTGGGTTGCCTGCTTGAAGGGCAGGGCAAAGCTCCAGCATAAAGCAAGCAGGTGGCTGTGCCCTGAGTGCATTGATGGGCTGTAATTGCCCAGATTCCGTTCACCTGGGCCCCGCGGCTCCCAGCCCTGACTTGGTTCTTTACCTGGCCTGGGGGCACAGGTGCGGTGATGCTGCTCTGGCTCCCGGCTCTGTGCTTGGTCACCTGTGGCTGCAGGAGCTGCGCGGGGCTCCCGAGCTTGCCCCAGTGCGTGGTGCTGGGGGAACCCTGTGTTCTCTTACCGGGCCGGCTGCCTTGGCACCCGGGTCTGCAAAATGGCCCCGGCGGCTCCACCTCCCCTGCTTGTTCGAGGTGTGTTTGGCGAACCGGGGTCGTTCAGAGGAGATGCGACACCGGGACGGGGCAGCGAGCGAAGGGCCGGAGCCCCCGGCGCTCATCAGCGCGTTCGGCCGGGCCGAGGTGAGCCTTTTCTGTTCCTCCGGGTCCTGCCCGGGGGGCCGGGGGCGAGGCGGGGGGGCGAGAGCGGCGCTGCCCGGTGGGGCGGGGGCTGCCCGGGGCCGGTCCCCTCCGCTCCGCCCCGCGCACACCCGCGGGCAGCTCCGCGGGGCTCCGCGGCCAGGACCCGCCTCCGCCGCTCCGAGCGGCTGCCGGCGGGCTCCCCGCAGCGCCGGGCCGGGCCGCTCTCCGCCGGAGCCGCAGATGTGGGGCCGCCGCCGCACGCAGGGCCGGCGCCGCCGAGGTAGGAGCCCCGGCGGCCGGGGCCTCCCGCGGCCTCCCCGCTCGGCTGGGGCGCTGCCCCCCTGCACCCCCACACCGGGGCAGGGCTGGGGGGCGCTGTGGGGGTTTCTGCCCCCCCTCCCCGGGTGTGGGTTTTCCTTCCAGCTCCACCAAGGGGTGAGGGTGACCGGTACCTCGAAGGCTCGGGAGGTGGAACGTGGGAATCGCGGCTTGTGCTAGGAGCAGCCCGAGGCAGGGGCAGGTTTGGGAGCCGTGTGTGGCAGGGGGGGACTCGCAGGGTCCCGGTGCCTGTTTGTTGCTCTCCGAGTTATTTTTGGAAGCTGCTTGGCTGTGAGGGATTATTTCCCTTTGGCTGTCTGTGGGGAGGTGCGTTTACATCGCGCTGCTCCAAGGGCTGCTGCTTTCCATTGGCCCAGGAACGGGGTAAGATCCATGTTTTGGCAAATGCTGGTCCAACCGGTTAGTTCTGCTTCCTCTCTTCCTCATGGTAACACCAAAACCAAGTGACCTGCGGCTTTTTTATCTGGCCCGGTGAGATTCGGCTGCTGGAGCCTTCCTTGGGAAGGGCTGGGTGTCCCTGAGGATTTGAGGGGCCTGGTGTGTTCATGAGGCGCTTTGTGTAACGCAGGGTGACAGCTGTGACACAAGTGCACTAAACCTTTTGAATGTCGGTTCGGTCTGGGTTATGTTTGGGTGGTTTTCCGCCCTTTACATGTAAATCGTGTTGCATAAGCCGGCAGATAAACCTGGTGCTTTCCTGGGCTGTCCTGTAGCTGTGGGACAGGATGGGGAAGCAGGGATGCAGGCAGAAGCAGTGTGATGGTGTATGCAGGCCTGTTAACGGGATGGGGAGCCTTGGCCTGGCACCCTGAGCTGCCTGGTGCTGCAGGAAATCGGGTGTCCCTGGGTGTGTGTGGAGTGTCTGTAGCTCCTGCCCAGTGGCTCAGAGGATTGCTCTTGTTTGCAGCCATTGCTTTGCTTCTGCCGGCGTTCCGGTAGGCAGCTGACTGCTTTGTCCATGCCTGACTCCAACCCAGGGCATGGAAATGGATTTCAGTAAGGTCGGTGGTTTCCAGCCCATCCAGACGAAGGGGGAACCCTGATTCAGCTGTTGAAACGCAGCGATGGGCCACAGCTCACCCGTGGCTGAACTGAAACCCCTCGTTGTTCCTTGGGTCACTCGTGATGCTTGTGCTGGTGTCTTCAATGGGTGGTGGTTTGTTGGCTGTGCTGAAGTGGATACTGCTCTCGCCCCTCGTTCTCAGTACCTTGGAGCCTGGCTCAGTGTTGACTCTGCAGCAGGTCCTGTTGTGCTCATGTGGCTTTTTGGAGAGTGGGGAGGGAAAAAAAACCTGAAGAAACTTCAAGACTGGTTAAGATTTTTGAATCTTTAAAAGCATTAATCCTGAATTAAACACTCTCTATTCCTAAATGTCAAAGAGAAACTAGTTAATGTGAGGCAAAACCATACCAAAGTAAGTACAGCTCGGCGCAGTCCCATATACGGGCATTTGATTTCTGTAGTGGGAGTGAATAAATCCCAGCAGTGGGACTCCTGGTGCTGGTCCAATATGTTGCGGAGCTGTTTGCAAAGTTTCCAGTAAGTTTGCTTAATGCGACCTTACTCAGTTGTGGGGCACTCCCATAATTATGGCTGCAATTAAAGGCAATAGCCTCCATTTACATAAGATGCTGGTCCTTTTAAACCATCGCATCATCTAATGAGCGCATTGGTGTGGGGATAGCTATGCAGGATGAGGGCCCAACACTGAGGGCATTTTGGGACCTTTTTGAGGTCATTGGAGGGAAGGGTCTGCTTTGAAATGATCCTTTTTCATAACAAACTGTCCTAAGTTCCAAGTACAACCCTTACCAGTGGTAGGATGCTGTTGAATTCGGTGCTTTTAGCACTTTATTAATGTATAATCCATCTCATTTGAAAAAAAATCAGCCTGGTTACACCACTATTTTTCTCGGTTTGATTGCGTCAGTGTTCCTTCTGCTCCTGTGAGTAAGAGATTTGGTAAATCCGACTTGTGGATAATATCTAATTGCTGATGAAGCACCACAGATGTGTTCTAGATTGCTCACTGCAGTTGCATGGGTTCCTCGAGGCTTAACTTGGGGCATGTAATGTCCACGGATTTTTCTTTGAGATGAGTAAAACCAGAATAGAATCATAGAATAATTATGGTTGGAAAGGACCTTAAGATCATCCAGTTCCAGCCCCCCTGCTGTGGGCAGGGACACCTCACACTAAACCATCACCTCACATCATACGCTGGGGGAAGGTTTCAGCTTTTTTTTGTGAAGGAAATGACCCAGTGCCATGCTCTCCCCTTCTCGCGATGTTTGGGTTTGTTTCTTTTCCCTGTGTGTGTGTGGTTTGGGGTTTTTTGTTTGCTTGTTTTAATGTACTGACTGCAGTGCAAGCTTTGTGTGCCCACACGCTGGCTGGGGCCGGTCCTTGGGAAGGAATCACAAGGCTGATGTAGCAGAAATGATGGAAACTCTCAAACTATAAGTGAGGGAGCAGCAGCCATGGGGCTGAGCAGTGCCGGGTTCCTTGGGTCTGCGCTGGTTTTCCCCAGAAGCCTTTTTTTTTGCTGCTTTAAGTCAAATCTGTTAAACTTTAGTCACAGACAGAGCATTTGACTTGTGGTCTCGAGAGTGTAAGAGGTTAAGTAATTGCATTGTATAAGGGAGTAAAAGAGAATAATGAACTCCAAGCTCACTGGTCTGTCTAGTTGGGCTGTCCAGTGGCTAAAATTAAGTAATTTAAGCTGATTCCTGGTTTTACTCAATCTTTAGCAGGTGCTAGAAGGCAGGATATGGGAAAGAGTCCCAAGCTGCTTTGCGCAGGTTGTGATAGCATCACAGAATGGTTTGGGTTGGAAGGGCCCTTCAAAGCTCATCTAGTCCAACCCTCCTGGGACATCTTCAGCTAGACCAGGTTGCCCAGAACCACATCCAGCCTGGCCTTGAATGTCTCCAGGCATGGGGCATCCAGCACCTCTCTGGACCAGTGTTTCACCACCCTCACTGTAAAGAATTTCTTCCCCGTGTTCAGCCTGAATCTCTCCTCTTTCATTTTAAACCCATCGCCCCTTGTCCTGTCACAACAGGCCCTGCTAGTCTCTCTCCATCTTTCTTATAGGCCCCTTTTAAGTACCGAAAGGCTGCAGTAAGGTGTGGGTTTATTTTGGGTACGATGTGGTTGTGCAGAGGGGCGCTTCGAGGGAGAGCGCTGGCTTGTCTGACTGACAGGATACCACGCAGGGCCAGGCTGGCACTAACCAGGCTTGTTCTGGGGTGCCTGCCAAAACCTCTCCCTAAATATTCATAATCGCGTGCTAATTCCGAATGCTAATCTCCAGATGTATTTAACGCATTACCCGCCGAAGCACTGACCTTGGAGCTGTGTGCAACATGTCTGTTTGAGGTAAAATCCCTGCAGCGGGGTGGGCCGGTGAGTTTGTGTCCATGCAAAGAGAGGAAATCCTTGTCTTTTGTTGCTCAGAATGTGTGAGCTTACCCATGCCTTTATGGTTGTGGTTTGGTTGTGTCAAACTCCTCTCTCATTTGAGAAGCTGGTGGACGGGGAGCTCTGCTGGAGGTTGGTGCCCGCAGCATTTAAGGATCCCGAAGCCTTTAAGTGTGTAGCTGCCATGGTAGGTCCTGAATGCAAGTGATGAGTTGTAACTGACTTATCCACATGATGGATAAAAGGGATGTTTTGCAATGTTCTGTTAATAAAACAGGATGGATTTGGCATAAGTGCCCTTGTGGAAATCATGTGCCTGTTACGGCTTTCAATTTGTATGTGTTGGTATAGTTTCAGTATAGCTAGTTACTTGGATATCTGAAACGACTGCGTGGCATTAGTTTCCATAGATGATTCAGTATGTTGCTATCTTGTTTACAGGCAGGAAGGTAGGAAATGGTAAATCAGAATGGGATTTAAGTTCCTATCTCCCTTTTTCACTCTGAAATTGACAACCTGACCTGTTCCTGAATGAATTTCCTTCTGTTTCTGCACAGTGTCAAGTGTTTGTGTTGTGGTTTAGGAGATGGCTTCATGCATGCTGTGCCTTGGCGCTGGGAATCACGGGGCTGCTGGCAGAGCTGGGTGATCCAGGCTCCCTGGCAGCTGCTCTCCTCTCAACTAGAGTTTCAACATGCCCCAGCCAGCCAAGACCACGCTGTGGGGTCGGTACATGTCACTAAAGTGATACCTAGAAGTGACTTAGAGATGCTATTTCTGCTTCGCTCGGGAAAGCCACTTGTGTTGCTGTGTTGTTTGAAATGAATCCACACAGGAGCGACTTCTCCATCTGCAGACAGCAGCATTCTTCGTTAGCTGGGTGAGTCTGCACTGAAACTGCAGAGCCTTGGTTTGATTGTGTGTGTGGTTTAGGTGCATTACTGGGAAGGCTTCTTTAAGCAGCAAGAAATCCTCATGGCTGGATTATATACAGTTTGTGAGCGGGCAGTTTAAATCCAAGGATGCCAGGGGCAAAATGTTTGTGGTGATTTATAGTTAAAAGCTTCCATATGACTACACCACCCCTTTAGGTGTAAAGTAATCAAGGAGCACATAACCCGTGAGTTGTCCTAATGGATCTGAAACTGCTTCTGACCAATTTGCACCTCCACAGCAATATTTGGATATAAGGCTGGCTTTTGCTTCCTTCATAGT